CAAGACAGTCATGATATGTTCAGCTCTCTTACTTTTTTGCTGCATCTTGATCTATTCATCATTTCCACTTTTCTTCAAATCCACCTTTCAAAAGATCAAAACCGCCGACCAGAGATTGAACTCTCCTTCATGGTGCCATGTCGAGCAGTGAGTTACTTGCCACATTCACACCCGTTGTGTTTCAGAGCTGGTTCGCTTTGTGGCACAGGAACTGCAACAGAGGACCGGAGCGACACATGGTCGCTTGATGCTATAGCCAGTGACTCTGAAGCGGATGGCGGTCATGAAAGACTACACCAGGTATTTTTACTGCATTGCTCACTCAGTTTTGTAATTTATTTGACAATTTGTGAGGATTCTCTCTCAGGGTATCGTGTAGAGGAAGATTTTGACAGATGAGTTAATTTATTGTTGAAAAACTACAAATATGTGTCGTATGTGATGCATGAATAGTATTATGCAAGCATTTGCTCATCAGGTGGTACCTTGTGTTAACGTGGAACCACTAATCGACGCGCACCATAATGGCGGTGCAAGTGAAGGATTGCAACGTCAAAGCAGTGGCAGCTCTTTTTCCTGCAGTCGTAGCGAAGCAGACTCGGAAATCAGCAAGTGAGGAGCCTTATTAGTGATGAAATGTCGTGATTTTTTACTTCACATGCTACCAATTTTTAGAGAGGAGCGCAAAACGGCGAACGAATCAAATAATACAGCTCGTGGTTCGGTAAGTTAAGCTTCCTTTCTGTTACTTCCAAAATCAATTTTTTGCGGTCGCTAGGTTTTTGTGTGGGTTTTAATAAAGCAAACACAAGTTTTGAGTATCGCTTCGAGAGGTTATTTTCTAGGACGGGTCTAAACTCACCCTCTCTATCTTGCCATCCCATTATTGTAACGTGATTGTGGTTATCCACTGTCAATTTAAAGGAAACTTGTAAAATGATTTTATTTGCGTCATCTCTTCGTTTATTTTCCGTCTTCTTCAGACGCCAAAACAGCCATCTGTGGAGCAGTCTGGTCCGTCCGGTATCCGAAGCTCTGCTTTCAGTTCACCTCAACCTTCTTTGGGAAATGTTCCCGATGCAGATCCCTATTCTGCTGGTTCATCTTCATCTTCCAATGCTCATCGGAAAAAGTTCTCTTTCTTCCAGCAAGGCTTGCAAAAGGTCGGAGACAAGATGCGAAAAGGTTTGTTGAGAAGAAGCGTTTACGGTTTGTACAGCCTGTACTTGTTGATGTGTGCATATTCAAAAATGACCTCTATTTGATTTACAAAGAACTGCTCAATCTCAGCTGAATGAAAATGGTTTATGAAAAGAAGTTTCGATAGGCCACCGCGCACATAACTGCACTCGCAGTTGCGCAATTCTGAACCGCGGTCTAATATCAGTTATTTTTTATTGCATGAGCCTAATTTCAAATAAATTGTGAATTCTCATTTTTAGGTATGACCGGTCCATCATTTCGTCAAATTCCACACTCGTCAACAATTTCGGACCTTTTGAGCGAATGGAATAGCGCAAGACGAGAAAACGAACAGGGGAGCTCGAATATCCCAAACAGTCAAACTATATGTCATATTGCTGGTAGGTTTGCTTTTTGCATTTGTTGAGTAAAAAGGCGGCGCGCGCGTCGATAAAAAATTTTGCGCTTGTACCGAGTTTGTTTTAGATCTTCATCAGCCATCAGCTGATGATATACTTGCAAAATATCAGCCTGCGGCTTCCACTTTCACAAATGAAGTGCCGACATCCATGGAAGTCACCTCATCAGCATCTGAAAGTGCGCCATCTGAGCAAGTGCTTGCATATTATTCATCTGATAATTTAACGGAATGTCGGTGAGTTGTCTAAGGAGTTTGTATGAAAGCTTTTATTTATTCGGCAGTTGGAAAAGGTCTCTAGCTTGTTATCCGTACATTTCGTAATTTGCATAACCATAGCCGATGACTAAAGTTTGTGGTCGTAATGAAGATCTTCGCCAGAAAAGTCTCCCATGCTTTGTAGAATCTTTGCCCTTACTCTGTATTTCTTTTAGCGCTTTTTGACAGAATAAAACTGAGGTTATAGTAAGAGCAGATCACTAAGGTTAAAATGTCCGCGCAGACCTGGTTTTTTGTTGCAATAATAATGTTTTCCAGAGCTTTCCTTGACGCTAAGAGAAAACTGCGTCTTGTTTTGAGCAGTGTAGGTAATGCTCCTAACGTACCGTTTGATGGAACTTGCAGGTTGGATATTTTGTTTCTTTGAACTTCATCTTGGTCAATGCAAATCCTCCTCACATATTGATATTTTATGTTTAGAGGGATGAGGCTTGAAGGTGAACGCGAACAGTTGGTACTGCTCTTACGAACCCTTTTGGCTGAGGCTATTAATGGAAGAGAGCAAGCTCTTGTAGCACACACTAGGGAGGTTATGCGGTGTTTGCAAATCTTCGACAATAAAGGGTGAGAACTTTGCTGTTTATATTTCACCTTTTTCAAATTCAGTGCTGTTTTCATCTGATGATAGAAAATGCGTGGTCGGACAGATCTGTTGATAGAACTGGGTAGAACAAATAATTATCAGTGCATTAATATATAATCATATATTCCATCTCGTGGAGGAGTAGTGCGTCGTAGCTTGAGTTTCAAGGTCTCGCCTGTTGAATTCCGTTGTAGCTCAGTGATCATGAATCGTGCTATGTCATTTTGGACACATGGTCACGTATTTGAGGAGGAATTTTTTTTTTGTTTTCTGTAACATTGATAACTATTATGATTCTTTCAAAAGTTAGAAATTTCTCAGGATACGCCAATTACTGCGAACCATGAAAGAAGAGTACCGGAAAAGATCGTCATACTTGCTGTATCTTCAACGGTCTAGAGTTACTCTCTTGCGCCAGTCTGCTTACGTTGACAAGATTGTGCTGAAAATAGAAAGGTTTAATGTTATATAATTTACGACGCTATAAAAGTTGCTTGTCTAATCAAACATGTTGCAGAGAGAAGGCATTGGCTGAAGAATGTTTGGTAGAAGTCCTTGTTCGTCTTTATATGGAAAATAAGGATCAGCAAATGAAGCGCTTCCTGCAGGAATTCGTACTTCTGAATGCTCAGGTATATATCGTTTGACAACGCGCAATAATACCGAGTTCGTCGTGAATGTACGATGACACTGAGTACTGTTGTAATGCGAATATATACTAACCCTCTACATCTTAGATGTATTCTAAAGTTTTTGGAATATCTATGCGCTTTGTCATTTTCCTGCAGAAGTGTAGTACTGAAATTACAAGCCGCGTTTTTGCAAGCAAAATTACGTAACCGTATTTGCTTTTCGGCTCTCGGAAAGTGGAAGAAAATCTTCTTTAATAAGAGTAGAACTCAGGACCTGCCGATCATGTGGGATGTTTTTAAGTTTTCAACCTATACATGTGCTTAGGCAAAGCTCAACTTGTAAGGTTTGGCTCCTGGTAAAGAGCTTTCGCGTTTTAGTTTCAAGTTCAAACATTGAGAATTGATACCTAAAATAAGTTTTGTAAGAGTATGCTCTTTAGTGCCTTCAAAAAATCCCGGA